TTACCGTTTAGATGTCAAGAGTGGAATAAGACATTTAAAATTAAAACTTCTAAACTACGAAGCTATACTCCAGAAGTTAGCAGAAATGAGAAGACTTTACCAGAGCTACTTACATGTAAGGGACTTACCTTCAAGCAGTCCGACCAAAGATGAATTTTCTGACATTGTCCCAATTTTGTCCGAAAGTCAGCTCAGATGTTTTGAACTGCTCCCAACATATCCAGAATATGAACGTTTGCCTGAACTCTTCCGCAATCTCAAAAAACGTTTTTTGGTTCTCATGTTCGAAACTTTTATCGGAAGAGACAACAAACGTTCAGAAGAAGAACAAGATATTATTTTAAACTTGTTGTATGACTTAACCGTCATAACAAGCTTTTTGAAGTAAAACCGTCATTCTCAAACCACTTCATTTTTTCGATGTCCGAACAAGCACCGAAGCCGAACACAATGGCAGATGTCCTTTCAATGTTGCCAGACAAGCGCCCAGTTCAAATTCAAATTTTGAATTTGAAAGCTCATCTGACAAACACCGTTAAGACTCTCCAAAGTAGTCTTATGGAAGAGATGACCAAGCTCAAAGCCGATGTCCTCATGAACCAAGCTTCCAATGAGAAATGCCTGAATGATTTGACGGAAACCTTGCGCATTTACGCGAGAGAGAACCGAGACCTTGCCAGACTCATCTACCGTTTCTTCGAAGAGATAGACGCCATCTGGAAGGTACTCGGAAAGGACAGAACCTCCAACACCGTAATTCGTGAGTACCAAATTGAAGAAGGAATTGTCGAAGAAGAAGAGAAACACGAAGAAGAAGAGGAAGAAGAAGAGAAACACGAAGAAAAGGAAGTTTGGGCAACCCTTGTTGCCGATGACAGTTATGAAATTTCCCAACCCTACCCATACAAAATCCGCAACAAGGAGACAGGCAAGGTTCTTACCCCAGTCCTCAACAACTTGGGACACTTGAACCTTAACCTTCGGAATCGCGGTTCAATCTCCATGGGCAAGCTTGTCGCAATTCAATGGGTTCCAAATCCAGGCAAGAAGACGAAGGTCAGACACATTGACGGTGACAAGCTCAACAACCGTAAGGAGAACCTCGAGTGGTTCTAAGAGTAAAAAAATTTTATTTTAGGGGGAAACCCCGAGTAAATTTAGGTGTTTATTTAGTTAAGTAGCTTAAATTAATGAGAATTTGGACAAGTAGTTCCTGACCCCTGAATTGGACTCTTTCGTCATCCCAGTTGCCTAGGAGGTCGTCCCAGAGGAGTTGGTAGATTTGCCAATCCAAGGACGATTTGTCCTCCCAGGCATTGAGGATGTACTGCTCGTAGAGTCTCATGACCTCTGCCTTGCACCAGACACCCTCTCCCTTGGAACGTAAGGCTTCTTCGAAGTGCTCGAATGCGATTGGCTGCGTGACCATCTGAAATGACACTTTTTGTCCGTTTGGTCAATGTTTGTGTCTCGTGCCATAGTCGACGAAAATACAAACAAACAGGTTATATATGAGTTTGAGACCAAGAATGGTGTAACTCGACCTGTCCGATTCAAAGACTCCGAGGGCGACCATGAAATTAAACGGAAATTAGCTAGGAAGGAATATAAAAATTTTTTATTTCATGCAATGTTTTATTTCTGTGCCATCTTCTTTAACACCCCAGTACTTACGCTTGGAGAGGACATGAACTTCGGTGAAAATTTTGTCCAATTTGAATTGACCCATCTTTTCACCGACCATTCCCATTTCAATGAGTTTGTTGTATCCTTCTTCGTTCGTCATGAGTGCGTCAATGTTCTCATAGTAAACCTTCACTTTGGATTTGACTTCGGAGAAGAATTTGTTGTAGTTGTCAAGGACTGCCTTTGCGAACTGAGGGTAAGACCAATGTTCGACAATAGGTTTTAATGTGGTTACTAAGCCACTTTGACCTTGAGTGAATTCGTACTTCAAAACAAAAGGAGAAAACCTTTCAACAAAGTTGTCGACCTTCTCATAATGTTTACTCTTCATCTCTTGAGGTTTTTTAATGGAATATCCCCATGTCGAATTCATAAGCAATTTGAGTGTCATTGCAAGTTTGGGGTTTGAAGCTTTCCTAATATCATACAACAACTGTATGACTTTTCCAACTGTATAGTTCCTTCCTGGGAACTCACCATCTTCGTTTGGAATTCCAGTTGGAATATATTGGACGAACCTCATGTACGCAGCGTTAAGGTCGACATAGTATATCTTTTCATATGAGTCGAACTTGTCGCATCCAATGGGTCCAGTTTGTGGAAATTCAAGTGAGTCTCTTATCTTCTGAGAAACCTCGCCTGTTATCTCATAAACATCGTCGAAGCAACCTGTTTCATATAAAACCTTCTGACCTAACTCAGATGCTCTCCAATACAATTTGACGTCAATTGGATGTCTCAATGGAAGTTTATTTATAGCATCTTGAAGTTCTTGCAACCTCATTGGAAGTTCTTCTGGTTCAGGTTGGTATCCGAACAATCCAACTCCTTGTGGAATTGTGTACTTCTTTTGTACTAGAACTTTGTCTGGAACAACTTTTGGTCTTGCTAACAGTGAAAAGTTTGTTTCGTCTTTTGGTACAAAAGTTTCTGTCAGCTTGTCATCTGGAATTGGTTCCAACAAACCTTTCTCGAAAAGAATGTTTACAGCTCTGACAATGTTGCACTTGCCTTTTCCGAACAATGGGTTTGTAAGACTTTCGTTCAACATGAAGTGGTTGTGGACAATTACAATCTTCAACCATGGTAAGTCTTTGTCAACAACATAGTCGTCATGTGAAGAACCTTTAGCTGTAGGTATGTTGACTCGGATATTGACATTTGCCAACGGTGCAATTTTTGACAATTGACCTCTGAGCATGTACCTTGTTTTCACACATGACTCAAGATACTTCATCTTCTCATCTGTAACAAGACCAGAGTTCCTGAGACATGTAAGAATGCAAGGTTCATTGACAATTGTTTCAATTGAATTGTAAATTCCATACCTTGTCAAGTCAATGTCAGACTTATTTATGAACGGGAAGTATCCAGCATGTTGTCTGACTGCTTGAGGGTTAGGTTGGTACCATTCAAATTTTACACTTGCAATTCCTTCAATTGCATTCAAAATGTCTGAGTCGGAGTCAACCATTTGTTCTCTCTTTGTAGTCTTGAAAGCGTCAAGAAGCATTGCAGCTGTTGTGACATTGCCATGTGCATAGTAAATGTGACCATCCAAATCTGTTATAGTTAATCTGAGATTGTATCCTTTCTTATTTCCGTCTTGTATGGCAGCAAGTACACCCATGAAGCCTTCTTTGTTCTTTCCTTCGTCAAAGTTTACTGTAAAGGTTCGACCAGATGTAATTTGACTTCTAACTTCACGATACTTCTCATATGCATATCTTGTTCTTTCCATGGGAGCATGTGCGTCTTCACCTTTTCCTTTTTTCCTTCTCAAAGGATGCAATTGTTCGTCATGTTTCCAGTAGAATCTGGCAAAGCCGTCGTGTCCTTCAACTTGAGGCTCAGAAACATCGAAAGGCATGTCCATAAGACGTTCTTCTTCTAACCTCTCGAGTCTGTTTGGATAATTGGCGCGCGCGGTTTCCAAATCCATTTCGTAGCGAAGACCAGACAATTTGTCATAGACTTTTATGGGTCTTCCCTTCCTATATTTAAACTTTTTCGAAACTTTCCAACCATATCTTTGCAACTCTGCTTTTATTCTAGCAGACTTTCTATCCATTCTATATGGGGGCATTTTTATAAAAATAAAAAAATGTTTTTTTTCTTTACTTTACATAACCGCCTGCTGCCATAAGTCTTTGACGCCAACCCATACCAGCTAATGAAGGTTGACTTGGTTTAGTTTGGAAACTAAACTTTGGTTTTGGTTTATCTTCAGTTTTTGGTTTTTCTTCTTCTATCGGTTTTTTGTCACTTTTCGGTTCCTCTGACTTTACTTCACTTGCAGGAACAGTTGTGTCGTCAACATCTTCATAAATATCATATGCCATTTGTTTTTGTTTTCCTTTCAACTTTTTGTGTTTGTTGTAAAGTTTAGAATATTTCGACTCTAAGTCAATGAGATGTTCTATAATGAACTGTTCGTCAGTGAAGTAAACTTTTCCATCTGCTGTCTCTTGAGTTCCTTCAGACTTCAATATTTTATTTGTGAGAGTCTGTTTCTTTTTTGAGATACTTGCCGTTCCATTTCTATGAAAAGTGACTTTATAGTTAGGGTTTGTATTTCCAGACCTGGCACTTTCTATTATTGAATTTTTCTCTTCATCTGTAAGTTCTTTGACAGGTTTTGACAATGGTTCTGAACTTTTTGTTTGTGGTGTCAAATCTACCGTTTCAACTTCTTCGGTCATTTCATCTCAGTAAAAAATTTTAGTTTGTTTTGTTTTCAACTGGTTGTTTAGGTTTTTTAAGTCGGTCTAAAACTTCCTGAGGTATAGGAAGAACTTGACAAACACGTGGTTGTGTAACTGCTGGAAGCCGACAAATCCATCTTGAGCCCATTTGTCTCAATGCTGTATTGTTCATTTCATCTCAGTAAAAAAATTTACATTCCCCACGTTTGAGGCGGTTGCGGTTGGTTGTTGTTTACCCACTGTTGTGCATGGTTATATCCTCTGTTAAAGAATCTTTCACCTTGGTCCATATAGTGCCCTGCTTGGTTATAGTAGTCATTTGCTTTGTTATAGTAGTTTCCTGCTTCTCTTCCTACATTGTCCATCCATCCTTGAACTTTTCCTCTTGTTTCAGGATTTGGAATAAGATTTGTTGCATCTCGTGCTACATCCCAACCTTTCTGTACAGTTTGTATAATAGGTTGTGCTTTCTCTTTAAGTATACCTAATGTACTCAAAATCTTCCTTCCAACTCCAAATACACCTCTGGCTATTGTTCCCACTGCGGGCAAAAATCTGGATGCAACTCCTGCTAATGCGCCAAATAAACCCATTTCTTATGGGTTAAAAATGACGAATTCAAACAAGGACCCCTATGTTTCTAAAGCGACAAAGAAAGCACTCGTGGTAAAAATCTTTAGTTCAACACCAAATGCTTGGTTTATGGATATCTTGGAAAACATTCCGAGAGTTAGAGAAGATGGACCACCATACTGGCTAATATTTGTTGGTCAAAACACAAGATACTGTGAAGCCATACCATTATGGTCCAAAAATATTTTAGATGTGAAAACTGCTTTGACAATCTTCGTTGACAAATACCATCCAACAAAACTGACATCTGACTGTGAAAGTTCTTTCAAATCAGACGATATTAAAAACTATCTGCGTTCAAAAAATGTAAACCAATATTTCATTGTCGACCAAAACCATTCTGCTCTTGGTGTCATTGACAGTTGTATAAAAATCTTAAGAGACTTAAATCAACCACAAGGTGGTGAAGCAAATGAAATGTCATATGACGACAAGTATAGACACTTCTCCATGGCAAAGATGAGACAAGTTTTAAATATTTACAATAACCGTAAACAAAAAGGTTTGGGAAACCATTCCCCCGAAGAAATGAAAAACAACCCCGACTTAGAGAAAGACTATATATTTAATAGTTTAGTCAAAAGAGACAAACAAGAAAGAATGCCGGGCTTCAAACTTAAGAAAGGTGACAAAGTAAAAATAGAAATACCTAAACGCGACCCATATGAAAATACTATTGACTATGACAACAATGGGAACTCGACAGGTACTCACATTCGTGTTCGTAAAAATAGAAGAAAGTATACAAGAGAATATTATGAAGTTTTAGGCAAACATGGCAAAATGTACAGACTGCAAGCAGAAGATAAAACTACTATTGTCAGACCTCGTTTCAAACTTGTCAAAGTTCAAGGTGGTATACTTTCAAAGACAGTTCCTAACAAATATAAGACAACTCCTGACGAATATGCTAAAGAAGTTGAAAATGACGACTAAGCAATTCTATACCATGCGTAAACTGTCATGTAAGGTGGCATGTAGTCTTTACTCTGTCCCGTTGTTTGCGTATATCCTGAAACGCGATGTGTATGGCTTCCTCCTACCTCAGTGTTACTCCAGTAACAATTTATAGCAAACTTAACGTCCTCTTTAACATCATATCCTTTACCTTTTGTCATTCCTGACCAATCCCAAAATCTATGACTATGCAAACCTGCTTCAGATGTACTTAAATTTATGTAGTGACTGTGCGCAGGTAAATTTGCACCTGAAATCGTTTTACTTCCACCTGTTTCCTTTGAAGAGTTTGCACAATACAAAAACCTGTCGACTATTTGAGTCCAAGTTCCGAGACCAAGTACTACTTCTGGTCTGGTAGAGTTCATTGACGTATAAATAGAACCTATAGGATATACTGTTTGAAGTATTTCTGTCTTTAACGTTTGAAGCTCTGTTTGTCAGCTTTTTTAACTAACTCATCGTTAACATATGTTTTGTCAGCTTTTTTATCTAACTCAACGTTAACATATGTTTTGTCAGCTTTGTTGTCATATAAATCTTGAGCAGTGAATTTAACTTTGTTTTCATCCTCCATGACATAGACATTTCTACATCTAGTGTATTTCATCGTCGTTATGTCTTCATCCGATGTTAAACCTTGTGGAAAGTTAGGAGGTTTCCAAAGTAGTACATCCCCACCAGTTCCATCAGGTTCTTCAACCGTTCCTGCAATATTTTCTATACCAACAGTTGCGAAGAAATCGTGTGTATGAGTCTTTTTAGAATATTCTTTGTCAGCTCTTGTCACTTCACTTGACATTTTATTGTCAACATATGTTTTTCCGCTTTGTCATCTAACATTGCTGGTAGTTCATCTACGTCATAGATGTTATGTGTATGATGTTTTTGTGGGTATGTTCTATCTGTCCATGCGAGAATATAGTCTCTTGTTGCATCTACATACTCTTTGTCAGCTTTGTTGTCATATCTGGCCTTCAAAAGAAGTTCATCTATAGGTTTCTCGTTTAAAGTTCTTTTTTTTTGGATTTATACAAACAGTATGGTTCTTACTGTCTTGAAACAGAAACTCGTCTGTCATTGGGTTTATCGTCAGTTTTAAGTTTCCTTCTTTCAATGACTCAGATATCTTAGAATAGTTTGAAAAGTTTGTTGTGTTCTTATTTAGAGCTTGTACAATGAGTTGTCGGTTGTGTTGTATTTCTCTCATAGACGCTGTTTCTTTCGACATTTTTATTCTAGATAAAATATGCTTTCAATAGAAAAAGAAAATTCAAGAGTTGCTACAACTAAACCATTAGATGAACTTTTACTAACGTAGGTCAAAAGTTTGAGACAGAGACCGTAAAGCATGAAGGCTATCGTTTTGACTACCCACTAAGATGGTTAAGAGACCCATCTGTCACAAAAGCTATTGGCTTTCGTAGAATGAAGTTCATTTTCAGAAGCCATACATGGTTTCCCATTTACGGTCGCTTTTGAAATTCGATACTATAACAAAGAAAAACGTACGTATGAGAAATTTGAACAGGGAAAACTTTTACAAGTGAATTTGCTTGTAAACTTAGAAACAACTCTTCAAGCTTTTCAAGAAAAAATAAACGATATCTATCTCGAATATGCAAACCAGTACAACATTGACGAAGGAGAGTACCATCTCGATATTATATATGACAGGAAAAATGCAACTGTTAAAATCAATAAAATAGAAGACCTTGAGAGAAAACGTTTATATTTCTACAAAATATAACAACTTGGCATGGCATAGATTTTTGAGGATGTTAAATCAGCCTGCATGGTATCCAGTACACCCGACTATTATGAAGTCGAAAACCCTAATGGAACATATGAAAATGTTTTCGACTCAGATGCTATTATAGTTCATGCTTCATTTTCTGGTGCACAAAACTCTTTTTTATGCTTGGCAAATGACTTTTACGAAAAAACCTACAAAGCTATATGAACCACCGAGTGGAAGTATTTCAGACTTTCAAGTATGGTTTACAACAGATGGAAGAAAGAGAATAGTTCCATTATACCATGCGTTTTACTTAGAACTTAGTCTCATATACAACTACTATCGAACGGTAAAAATATAATTTTAATACGGTTGAGGTGTTGGATTTGGTTGCCAACTAGACTGTGGTGCAGGTTCAGGCTGTTGTATAACAGGAGCTTGTTCTTCTGGTTCAGGGTCTTTAGGTATAATACCAACGAACTGACCTACTCTTTTACCAATATTTTTGACTCCGTTCCAAATTCCTCTTCCTACGGTTTTTATTCCATTCCATATACCTCTTCCAACATTTCGAAAGAAGTTTCCAATACTACTGAAGAAACCCATTTTACTATATGTAAAAATCTAATGTCCGCCTAGTCTCTTACGTTTCCTGTTGAGTTCCATAGCATTTTTTAACTGGAGCTCATACATTCTATTTCTCCTCTGGTAGAAAACATATTCTGGGTCAACTCCTGTGTTCGCGTCATCTGCATAGAGTTGTTTATATCCCACTTCAGGGTTTGTATAAAACTCTTTCCATCTCATATTTGCATACCATGGTGGCAAACCTAACGCAGCGTCATTTGACATGGCAGTTTGCATTTGTACATCTGTTGGCACTTGACCATAGTTTGCCATTGCAGTTTGTATTCTAACTTCATTTGGAATATTCTCTGGGTTTGGTTGTCCAGGTTGCTGTGCATTCGCTAAGTTCTGTGCGTCCATTTAATATTAGATAAAAATATCTCTTACGAGTACATATGCTGAACATTTGCAGACATTGGTTCATCTTCATATTCTCTGTACCTTTCTGCCACGTCAAATAAGTAAATGACACAATGGAAAAAACCTAAAACAAGTAGTCCTATTTCAAACCACATTTACTTACCAATAAAATTTCTTTGTTATGACACTTTCTCCAGTTTATAGGACCTCTCTCATATTCTATCTTGTCATATATAAACTCATAGTCATGTATGTCCTCTAACCATCTCATAACGGTTTCCAAACCACTTTTATCGGATGTAAAGTAAAAGCATGGATGGTTATGTAAAACGTCTAAAGTTTCTAAAGAGTCTCTCAAAGTCCAGTCTACTTGGTATTGAAAATCCCATGTGTTATAGAACGGCGGGTCCACTATAAAGAAAACATTTTCCTTGTCTTTATATTTTTCATACAACTCTGTCCAATGACATCTCACAAACTCTATACCCTCAATATATTTTTCTATGTCCTCTTTGAAAACATTTGTATAGTTAAGATATAAAACTTTTGACATAAGTGTTTCAATGTCATGAACTCTTATAGCACCACTATATAATAGTCTAGCAGATATACTATCCCAGTCTATATATTCTGCTTTTTTCAAAACCTCTCTCACAATATTTTTCTTATCTAATGGTATACGTTCCATCTTACCTATAGGTATCTTTTCTTTTAACTCTTTCAATATTTTGTTTGTGTCTGGAATATGTTTGAGACGGTCCATATAGTTGTCGAAGTCATTGCATATAATCTTTGAGTCTGGAAATATTGTATGGCACAAATGGGATATATAGAAACTTCCACCGAACAAATCTACAAATGTTAGACCATTCGGTAGTTTCTTAAGTTCTCTCAATAGAATATCTTTACATCTACTCTTATTTCCAAAGAAGGGTAACGGTGGTTTTGTAAAATTCATTTTATATATATAATAAAAATGTTTTTACCCGAAAAGTGACAGAAAAGTGACAAAACATGAAAACATATATAATTTGTGAAAAGCGACACATTATATAATGTTTTCGACCCAGAAGAAGGCTTCTTCCCAGAAGCAATGGAGGAAGAAGAAGAGTCCTCCGAATAAAAACTTCATTTATACTAAACATCTTCAGGGCTAGAAGGGGCGCAGCCCCTGGAAGCCCCACTACCTTTTTTTTTTTTTTTTTTTTTTTTTTTTTTTCATTGTTTTATAGAATTCTCTTTCTTTTCATATTTATCATTATTTTATTACATTTTATTACATTTTCATATTTATCATTGTTTTGTATAATTCTCTTTCTTTGCATATTTATCATTGTTTTATTACATTCTCACAATATTAATGATTACCCTCTTAGTATCGCGATCAAATCAAAATCAATAGAATTTGTCAAATTCTTAGTTGAACATGGTGCTGATGTTAACACAGCACTTGCTCTATTTCTTTTTATGTTTATCATTGTTTAATAATATTCTCTTTCTTTTCATATTTATCACTTGTTTATCACATTCTCTTTCTTTTCATATTTATCATTGTTATATGGGATTCTCTTTCTTTTCATATTTATTATTGTTTTATAGAATTCTCTTTCTTTTCATATTTATCATTGTTTTATAAAATTCTCTTTCTTTTCATATTTATTATTGCTTTGTGATTTTCTCTTTCTTTTCATATTTATTATTGTTTTATAGTTTTCTCTTTCTTTTCATATTTATCATTGTTTTGTATAATTCTCTTTCTTTTCAAATTTATCATTGTTTTATGATTTTCTCTTTCTTTTCATTTTTAT